TGAATTCCGTGTGCCATTCGATGCTCTCTTTTTTTATGAAGGGAAGGTAAATGCACCAGCTGCGTGCGTTATTTACGTTAAGTGCTGCGTGAAATTAGTTACGAATGAGTGCAGATGATTATGATGGTATACGGGAGGTACTGGAATCATCGAATAATCCCCCCGCTGTCCATCTCGATGAAAAATTAACATTGCGCAATAAAGGCTTCATTAAGGGGTAAAGGATCAAACGCGGAGGTTCATCAGAGATTACACCCAACTTTCTGATATCTAAGCGCACTTACTAATCAAGTATGCTTTTTAAGGCGCTTCCCGAATCTATTAATCGTTCGGTCTAATTTTTTAATCATTATATAGCGAGTGTAATGACCGTGGGATCAATGTTAATTATTGATCTGAGAAATCAAGACTCTCGACAAATTCAAAGATGATCGAGAGTAAAACGGGAACGCGAGGCTGATCGGGATTCACGTCGACTCGGGTGGAGTTTCCTTACGACCGCCATGTGTAAGGGAGTCGCGCGCGATAAATTATGCGTGTCCAGCGTCCCACGTGGTTGCGAGTGCGGCCGATAAATAACCAGTGGCGAAGGAAAGTGCGAGGGCTGAGCGCCCTACACCGGCGATCACTTCAACGGTTATCCATAACGAAAATAAACCTACCGCGAAATCTACATTCTGGCAAATCCGATCCGACGCATCCTTCGCTACTCGGAATCGTCGGCAAGTTTAACGACTTCGTCCCTCTCGTTCTTCGCGCTGCCGCGACCGACACGCGGAAGCCCGTGAATTTTCAGAGAGAGAACGCTTCGCGCTTACATATCCATATATTATTATATAAATTTTCCTCGAACTTAAACAAATTATAAAAATTTTTGCAGAATTTTTATATGTATATATTAATATCTATTTGAATTATTGAATTATCAAACATCTCCATTACTCTCTCGGTTGCTTCTTACTTTCAAAATTTAGATTTTTATAAATTTTGTAGAACTTTATATTTTGTAGAGGCTCGTTAGTTTTTAAGCTTTGGCATTTTTATGGCTTTGCAATTCTGCAGTGTTGAAGCTGCAGCAAAAATTTAAATTCTCATGCATATACCTACATAATTTCGCGTTTTGGTACTCTGGCATAATTCTAGATCTCTGTATATATGCCGACTTTGATGTGTGTTGCATTCACCTGAATTCACGGAAACGTAAATTTTTGCAATTTTGTGTTCTTTCATTCACGCCTCGATTAACAGCAAATGTACAGTTCGCCGTGCATCGTGGATCGAAGCACGACGAAGGCGCGCTCGAGAAAAATGTACGGGCAAGAGGGAGGGGAAAAAAAGAGCGAGAGAAGGTAGGGCGGAGAAAGAAACAAGGGGAAGGGGGAGCAAGAAAGGAACGGAACAGTCCAGAGTCCAGGAAGCTCTTACTTCCTCGGCGTGCAACAATCTCTTTACGGGCAAGCAATTTTTATGACGAAGCCACCCGGGCGGGCCGAGGTAACACGCGAGGTGACGAGGTACTTTCGACATGTAACGCGGCGATATTCGTATTCTTCTCCTGGAAAGTGACTCGTTAAGGCTTTAAGAGCCGTCGACACGCAGGGCCCATCCTTGGCCTTGCGATCGCCTCGGGGCGACCGGACAATCAGTGAATCGTAATGGCCATCTGTTTGAAGACTCGGGCGAAATTTCGAGCTTAATATCACTTATCTCTTTACGATTTTACGAGGTAAAGATTTCGAAACAAATTTCCGAGAGCTTTTTTGCTCTCTGTAAAACAAATAAATTATTATAATGGAATATCAAAGTGACAATATACAGCAAACTATGCCAAATTTCAAATCACAAGAAATTCAGCAGTGTAAACAGACAATAAATTTTTCAATGGTTTTAAATTAAAATATAAAATATATATCGTACGGACTCTTAGATATTTTTTTAAACTTCTTTCAGATATTTTTTAGACTGTTTGGAGCCCTATAGATTGTTTGGAAAGAGTGCTTTCGGGGATATTGTCTAAGAACGTGAATGGTCCAAACAGATATTCATTAATGCTGTCGAGAACACTCGAATGGATGTTACGGCAGAATCGAGCTCGTCGCACGGACGTGCGACGTCCGCGGCTAATAACAGCCGGTCGCCGCAAACGCGCATGCGGCGCGAAGATAAGGCTTTGGGCTAAAACCGTGTCGTGACGGGATGTCTGTGCTATTCCATCCTCGGTGTCGGCTATACGTATGCGGCACCGCACGCACTCGCACCGCGGAACTCGCGTGCACGAGTGCGCGACGCGACGTGTGAACGCGACGCGGAGCGACCCTTCTCGCGGGATGTCGCGTTTCCCAAACAAGAAACGTACGAAGTCGCGAACATGACAAAAAGCTCGACATGGAGCGTCTCCCTGGAGAACGTTGTACCTGGCCTGAAGAAGCGAAATAAGTTATCGCTGCGACGCTGCCTAATCATAATTAACACGAGATTGAATCATCGAGAGGATTGAGCGGATCTCGCACGACGTCTCCCCCGAATCTCTAGGCGTAAAGTAAATCATATTACATATTTATTTATATTATTATGCTATTAAGATCGCATCAGGTACCCAACGAACCGAATCACCGTAAGTGACGAGCGCTGGCTAATTTAGCTCGCCGAACTGCGTGCATGTGCATGTGACCGCTCGCTCGTCCTTCTTCCTTGCCCGCGCGCTCGGCCGCGAAGCGAAGTCGGAGCACGCGCGACGACGGAACCAGCTGCTTATCCCGAGGATCTCGGGTTCACCCTCTCTAAGATCGGCTAATGCGATTTTGGAAGGCGCAGCGCGCGAGAAGGGGAGAACGCGGAGAGGCGAGTTCCCGAAATTGCGACAGAACCAACGGGCGAGTTATGTTCGCTCGCGACGATTTTAAGACGATAAGACATTAAGGAGACACCGATGAAGCCACAGTAATTGATGAGTTCGTGGCGTGACGACGCCGCAATGGCGGACACGCCGAAATTAAATCCATGGCATGTAACGCGGGACAGGCGCCTCGATGTCCGCAACTCGCAAAAAATTTAAAGTTTTACAGTATTTGCAGCGGGATTTATTAATAGCGAGTCAAACTACGAATTATACATCCTCTGAGTAATTATATTGTCTACTAGAAGATGCTCGTCTCGGAGAGCGTAAGCTTATTTAATTTATTTGTCACCGCTCGAAGTAGAGCTAAAACGTACGATTTACAACTTTATATTAAATTGTTAATTAAATGTTACATAACGTTACCTCAACTAATCGCGCTTGACTCTCAAAGCCCACTTTCTTCCTTGTTAATTTTAATATCCTCCTTATCCATTTATTTATAATATTATCTGTTTAATTGTTTCTCTTCTTGCAATCACTACGCGAGTCAGTGGACGTGAGAGAGAATATCTACATTGGACGAAGGAAATGTCACGTTCCGCCAAGCGATCTGGAAACTCGGCGATTGATGAATTGCCGGTAATTGACGTGGCCCGAGAGGTCACACGAAAACGGCCAATCGAGTGCATCGGCGGGGGTGACGCCGATGCACGTGTACGTACACGTCCGCCGCTCGCGAAATGTAGATCGACCGGTGATTTACTTATCAACAATCGACGCTCCGCCGGAGGTAAATGGTCGAGTCGTGACCATTAGTTCGTGGACCACGGTACGTATGGGGCCGGGGGCCCCGTACCTGCGAAGCGACAACGTGCGCGAATCGACACCGTGTGAGGCCCGACTGGATCCCGACACGACGTCTCAGGCCCTGCATAACGACGCGTCGCCAAGTGGCCGTCGATATATTGTAAGAGAGTGCATCAGAGTTCATTTATTGAATCCCTACGACAAACTGACGGAAGTTACTCTCACTGCGGGCCTACTTTTACAAATTTTAAGTTAGAGTTTAGTCAATCATTCTTCTTTCTGCACTATTAAATTTATAGTGTCAAATTATACTCAATTTGAATCATTTTAATTTTTATAAGTCGCCATTGTTCCTATTTAATATGTCGTTAATTTGAAACAATAGAGTTAAAATAATACTGTTTTGTGTTGAAATAATAAATTTCGATACACATGGTAATTAAAAATAACAAAATGTTATTTAACTCAAGGTACTGATTTAAATATTTAACAGTGTAGAAGATGCGCATGTATAAACATATATACAATACGATTCAATTTAAATATACATACTCCTTTATCGTTTCACGAGAAATCCGAAAATTTCCGGAAAACTCCGGAACCCCGAGGCTTCGAGGACGTTCCGAGAATCGCGTATTTCTCGGAGCGAGACAGCCTCGAGGAGGCAAACTCGCTCAAAAATTGCGCTCCGCATTATCCTCCGTAATGCGGCACCGTCGTCGACGCAATTTGCGGGCACTCGTAACGACTGAAATCACAGGTGCACGCTCGCAGAGAAACGCGCGGTTACGCAACAGGCGGGACGCGATTCCTTTTTTTTTCTTCAGCGCGCGGCTCTTCAAATCGGCAAAAATTACTTCGCGCTTGACTTGCTCGCGTGAGCGGCGCGACGGCTATTCTCGACGACTTCGTAACGAATCGCGGCCTCGTCCCGATCGAAAATAGGACGAAATCGCTCAAGGCAGTCGCGAGGAGCATCGATAAGATCGTCCACGTCGGAGAAATCAAGATTCTCTCCTCGAGTGCCGGGACCCTCTCTTACGCGAAGGTATTCAGCGATCCTCGAGCTGAGAGGGGGCCTCTTCGGGCCTGAAGTGCAATTGCGAGCGCGTTAAATAGCGACTTCGCGTATCTTCTTCTATTCAAGTCGCCGATTCACACGTTCTTTTTTCTGCGCGCGTTTTTCTCTTATTGTCAAACATCGGTTTGCGCGCGAATCTCGCCCACGGCTAACGTCGGTATTATTAAAATCCTTCTTTCCCTTTTAACGTCGAATAGATAGGAGAGCTAATCGCGCTAAGGTAGGCCTACCTCGTCTAGATTGGTTAACGCAAATTTAAAAATATTCGCTTACCGATAGTAGTCCTTCTTGCAGTAGATGTTCCCGTCTCTGCTGAAGCAGGTGACCTCCCCGTCGAGGCCCTGGCGACAGTGCGAGCACTGGAGGCACGCGGCATGCCACCTCTTGTCGACGGCCTGGAGGTAGAACCTGTCCGATATTTTGAGGCCGCATCCCGCGCAAACCACGTTCCCCGGAACGTCCTCGGACTGCGAGGGTGGCGTGGGTGGCGGTTCCAGCTTCGGGATGGCGTGCAAATGCTGCTCCGTCGTGTTCTGCTGTTCCTGGGAATGCGCCTGCAGATGGGGATGATGATGGTGATGGTGGTGGTGATGCTGGTGGTGATGGTGCGCGGTCTGCGATGGCATGCTCAGGTCATTGGCGTTCTCGAAGTTCCCACCGCTGCCTCGGTATTCCTGTCCGCCCGCTGAGGAACACGCCGGAAGAATTCGTCATTAATCTTGTGTTTCTATTCATCGCCAGCGTTATTAGTACCATATTAACAAACTAACTAATCTTGATATCCAAGAAGATTCAAAAGACTTTAGAGACTTACAAAAAAAAATCTGAAGAATAGGAAAAAAAATGGATAATTCTATTAACCGAGTCTCTTCTTCTTAATGGATCCTGACATCTCCGTCCCAACCCCCTCCGACAGGTAAGAGATAATCGTACCTCCGGGTGAGTCGTAGTCCCTCGACTCATAAGGGGTGGTCGAGCCGTCGTAACAGTTGTTATTGGTGCCGCAGTGGGTCTGATGCAGGGGCGTATGATGGGACCCGTGGTGATGGGCGGCAGGAGGACTGCACGGTAGAGTGGTGGGTCGCGCAGCATCGCCCATCGACGCGGGAAGGCAGGGACTCAGATCCCGGGCCTGGTCCACCGCGCCGGGCCCTCCCGTGCTGCCGGGTCCCACCTGGCGCCCCACAGCCAAGCCGCTGCCACGCTCCTGCGAGCTGGGCGGCTGCTGGAACAAATCGATGTATCGACACTTTAGTTGGCGCATCGAATCGGCCGGTGTCCGTGTGTGTTTTGTCATGCGAGAGGTGAAGCCGGTAATATTGAGTATGACGCAAGTACGAGACATATTTCTTACGTTATATTCGGCGAAAAATCCGCATTAATCGTGACTTGTCATTTTTCTTGAAATTGAGAACCAATAAAAAGTCCCTCTTATACGTAACATCCTCTATCGGGAATTTGCGAGTAAAAGTAGCATTATGGTTATTAAGCACTTTTGTGACTTCCTTTAAGCTTTAAGCGATCGAGATGTGTAATTTAAAAAGAGGGCATGTGAAAGGAGATTGTAGTTGATTATAGGGAGATAGATATAATAGATAAAAGATTATCAACAATAAAAAAATTAAAATAAAAAATATTAAAAGAGAATCGGGTAGGCACAGAAGAACTGGAAGTACCAAAATATAAGAATGAATGTAGGGAAGATACTGTTGAAGTTTGGAGGAGAAAAACGACAAGTAGAATGAAATGCAAATGAGAACAAAAGAGAGGGACGTGAAAGTTTAACGGAAGGACCAAGGCATCATAAAAATAAGACAATCAAGAGGGCAAAAATATTAAAACAATTAGGGAGACTGGAAAGACGAAGAGGATCAACGGATTAAAGAGACCAACAGGACTAGAAGAAGAAGAGGCAGCTAAGAGAGACAGAGAGAGAGAGAGAGGTAAAAGGACAAAGGACGTGGCGACACGGCGAGGACAAGGAGGCCCGATCGGACGGAGCTCGCGAATGGAATGGAGGTGAAGTGACGACGGGTTGCAACCGCCGCTGTCACCGGAGGGAAGAAACGCGCGGAGAGAAAGAGTAGCACACACACCGGCGATGGTAGCCGCCGCCGCCGCGCCGGTCGCCTCTGATGGATGTCGCAAGACGCACCGCGCGCCCGCGCGCATGTGCGCGGGGCCCTATAAGGCGCCCGAAGGCGGCCAATCCGATGGCAGACACCGTGTGTTTCAAGTGTTCGCAATGCGCCCGCCGCTGGTTGCGTAGATATAAATTGTAAGCTGCCTCCTTGTCGTCTTTCTTTCTGTCTCTCTCTCTCTCTCTCTTTCTCTCTGCCCCCCTTTTTCTCTATACTCTCTTTTCGATTTATTTATCCATTTGTTTAATTCAATGTTTCTTGTTTTAGCTTCTGGGACCGCGAGGGGAAAGTATAGATTCAGAACATCCCGCTGCCAGAATGCTGAATTTTAAATCCGATACACAAAGCCCGTTCTTTGCAACTGCGCTATACATTGCGTTTTCCGCACTTAAAATGAAATAGGCGTTAAAGAGAAAAAGAAGAATTGTAAAAAAAATGCAAAAAGGTCAAGACACTGATAGTTTGCGAAAAGAAGGTAATAGATCATATTTTTGCTAAATTTAAAAACTTGCAATTTCTTTTAAATCTTTCTTTGCACAATTCAAAGTTGTCCAAAGATTCACAAATGTCAAAAACCGTCAACACTTAGAATCAGTTTAAACAAATCGTAAAAGTCTTTAGTAATTTGTGAAATTTCTGAAGATTCTTGCAAGTTTTCCACAAATCCTCAATGCCTGCTTTCCTAGTCAAAAAGTTTCCTATATTTAGAGAGAAAATTTTCGGTCGAATATAGAGTCAACTTCCGATCTCGCAAAAATCAATTTCCCAAAGATCTTGCCAGCTAGAGTAGGATTAGTTTCCAATCTCTCCAAGTTTAATTAATAAATATTAAAGGCATTCCGTGTGGAATAACGGGGAATAAAAGTCTACGTAGGGCGATCATATCGCATTAACCACCGCGCGGGACGTGATTGGAATCGCTAATTCCCCGACCCGGCTTTACTTAACCGTTGACTTTGTTTCAGCAAGCTTTCGCGACGCGACGTAATCTTCACGTGCACGCTGTTGATCCTTATGTAACGGCGGATCGGCTCGGCGCAGGCATTACAGGAATGCGCGTTCCTCAAAGTGTCTCCCCGCGCATTGTCCTATCCCATAATGAACCCGCCGTCGTGTGCGGTAACGGGCTCGTTAAGCCGCGCCGCGAATTATTTGCGAATCGATATGCACGTATGCAATTTTACGGAAATCCCGCACGGAAACGAATTCAACTGCGGGCGTGACTCATCCCTAATTCCCCTGACGATGGCTGACGGAAAAGATAATAAAAATAGGCGCGTCACAGTCGCACGCGACGTTCGCGAGCGATTCGCAAACGTCGCTCGTAATCTCAAGAGAGACGTAAAATAAATAACGATTCCGAAAGATTCAGTTTGAGCTCGAACGGTGCCAATCCGCGGCTCTCGTCTCCGAGATTCCGCGTCTCCCGCGACTGCGACTGCGACGTGAGAGACAATACAGGAAAAGGCTGGACTGACGTGATCGACCGATAAATTTTCTCACGAGATCGACGGGCGAGAGCCGATCGATCCTCGAGATCCCTATCCATCTCGAGAGCGGTCCGGCGACGTGCTCTCGCGGACTGCAAACAGACTTTCACCCGGCGCGCCGGCGAAGCTTGCACAAGAGCAAACGTGTGCGCTCGCCTTCCATCTCTTTTTCTCTGCTTCCTCTTTTTTTTCCCCATCCTTGCCCCTTTTTCTCCTCTCATTTTCGCGAAATCGCGGAGTAAATAACGCGCGCGTGCGCGGAATCCGCGGTCACGAGAATGCCGGCACGGAAACGAGTTAGAATGCCGTCAGAAATGTCGCTCGGCTGCCGGCAGAAAGCGCAGTGTCCTACCGTTTCGTACCTGCGCGAATCTGTTTATGTTTCCTTTTCTTTTTTTTTTCATATGTATATATATACGCGCGAGACCCGCGCGAGTGCCACTTTGCGACGGCGACGCGATAATTGAAAGAACACGAGAAAGAGCACCTGTTTTATCATAACTGAGGATTCATAGTGGAAAAAACAAAGTAAAGAATAGTACCGTGCGTAAACGAAGTAACGATAAAACAGTGTCACTTTAAAATGTAAAATTGAATATAAAATTTTTACGTAATTCAATTTAATTTCTTTAAACATTCAAATATTATTAACTTTATGTAAAAAGCGTAAAGTCAAATGCAAAAGCATAATAGAATAATTATAATATTTTTTTATTGAAGGTCAAACGTTTATTCTTTGATTTCGACGCTTCGAATTTTAAGCGCGTGCGAAGGCAGTTATATAATTTTGTGTGAAGTTCTACCGCCGCTAATCGAAAGGACATCCGGTGATCCTGGGATACCTGGTGAACGACGCAGCGGAGAACAAACGTTGTTAAGAAACGTTGCGCAGCGGCGGGGCTTGAAAAATGGAGCCGTCGTGCCGGTCGCGGACGGTAATTTGTTTGAAAACGCGAGACCGAGCGCGCGTTCCGACCACGGAAAAGCATGCACGATAACCTTACGTCACGACCTACCGAGATACAGCGTTATCGCAGTAAATTGTAACTCGGCTCTCTTTTTCAGCGCTCAAGCCCGAAGAAGAAGCCCGCGGCTCGGCTCGGCTGCGGCTGAGTCAGCGAAATTTCTTTCAGCATCGACAACGACGGCGACGGGTAAAAAATTATCGGGATGGCTCGTCCTCGATATCAGTGGCGCAGCAACGTCGCCGACGTCGGAGTTCTTCGACTTTAACTCGAACCTCGATATACCGAATCGCAAATAACTTTCTGTATCGACGACTGAAAAAAGAATCGCCCGATGCTTTTGAAACGTTCTGTCGTTTTTTAGCAAAAGAAAGAAAGTATCTGTATTTTATTTCCTTTACAAAAATATTTAAATGTTAAAAAGATGCAAAATCTCAGACGTACTTTAACACTTATGTTACAAGTACATGGCGCAAAAAATATATTTTTAATGGTCGGACGGAATCTTATGCCTAACAATAAATTGTAAATTTTTTACATTCCTCCTTTATACTTTTGAACAATGCATCAATTATCGGTCTCAAAACGCAGTTTTATGCCAAAATTGGAAATGTAACATCACGTTATATTAAATTGATAATCAATTTAATATTATTAATAGCCTCTCATAAATCGCAAAAGAAACACATTCGATATATTCGACTGCAAATAACAGTGTCTTTTCACGATCGAATAAACGTGTTGTTATTTCCGGCGGAGAGAGAGGATATCCCCCGATAGTTTCTCTTTCATAAAGTCTTCTTCAAGATGCGAGAAGAAAACGGAGCATCTCTTCGGATAGGTTTCTCCAGCAAAAACCGGTGAGCGTTCCCGAGCAAAACGTTAAAACTGGAAGCGTTCGCGTCTCGCCGTTCGGTGGCTCATGCACGCGCGAAGCGGCACGTGTGCTGGTGACGCGCGTATCAGCTTCCCTCGGCGAACGATAGCGATAACAATAAACAGCCTCGTCCATCGCGCCGACCGCGGTTTTCTCTCCTCTCTTTCTCGCTCTTGAAAACGCGTGGGCGACGCTTAACACCGCGGAGAGCCGATAAACCGGCGGCTATCTGCACTTCTCCGCGTTGTCGTTGCGGGCTACCAAACGATCGGACTGGCGAGAACATCGCGGGAACGGCCACGGAAATATTGGATGGCGCGCTACCGTGCCCCATATATGGGATGTCGCCAAATCCTCGCCGATCGCAGATACTGAAGGTCAGGGGAGAAAAGGGCTACCGGTTGTTTCACTGTCTAGGTGGCGGATTTTTCACGATGCAGCGCTGCCAGAATTTAATGATGCTCAAATAACGTACATCTTAAATAATGTGTGATAAAATTTTCGGACACTTATATTGACTTCTAACATCTTCCCAAACTTTCGTGTCATTACCCGCGCTAATTCATTGACGAGAGTACAGTTTCCGATACGCGCGAATTTATTTTCAGCGACGGCGACGAACAATAATGCGCTAGAATTGCGCCAGACACATGACAGATTAAATAATCGCGGCGCGATTCAATGTGCGTTGTGGGAGTCAAATTTATCCCAGCGGATTTTCGGCGAATACACATTCGGTCGCCCGGCGTGTC